ATACATTGGCCCCAGCGTTTTGTTTTTAATTGAACCAATTCTCATTTAATGTCACAAGCCAACCCAATGGATTCACTGCCCTTGGGTTAGATGCCTAGCCCAGGACCACTGAGTTCTGGTCCTGTTGGGACATGGACATGTGGTGCAAAGCCTGGCTGCCCAGTGATTGTATGCATTAGGGATAGCGGCTTCAGCAGCTTGCTGTGGTACTGGCAGGCAATGCAATATGGCCTATGTAGAGAAGCAATTTGTTCTTACTAATATAGCGCTGGTAAAGAAGTAGGCTTTTTTCACAATGTTAGTAATTAATTTACATTTTGCAGTGTTTTATAGGCTAAAATTGTGTTACTTAATGTATCTGCATGTGATACTTTATATTAAAATAAAGTCTTACCCTTTAGAGGAGTGGAAAATAGATATTAATATTGAGGCATGTTTTTTCATGTGAGATAAATACCTTGTGCATTTTGAAAAGTGCAACACATTTATGTTCATTTAGCAGTCTGTTTTTTTTTCTTCCATTCTTGAAAATGATCACCAACTTGTTCTAATAAATAATAATTATTCCTGGTATAATAAATGCATCAGTAACACAAAGAGTAATGGTTGATAGAATCACAGCAGAAATCCTGGAAAGAGCTGTATATTTCAATCCAACACCTTAATTTTAGCAATTCTGTGTCAATGTATCCATCTTTCTATAGCCCATTAAGGAAGACATGTGCTCTGATTTTTGCTTTAATCTAATTATCTTTGCAGTATATTCTTAGAACTTATCACTTAGGAAAAACTTTTTTCTTTCATAAAGTGAAATGCTTCTTTTTGTTGGAAATAAGGTTACACAATCTGTATTTCTCTCTTTATAATAGCTGTGAGAAAGCCCAGGGCTAGATTTAATTTTCAAATACAGTTATAGGACATATTTAAAAAATAGTTATTGTCTTCTATTCATTAAACAAATTGTTGAGTGAAAACTATGGGTTAAACATTGTGTAGGCACTTTTTATTTAGCTGTAGTTTATATATGTTTATCTAATGGTATGTTTCCATTTGCTTGGCTAAATGTGTATTTACATTCTCATGCAAGCCACCTCAATCATTTTGGAAAGTAGCTTTCCAGTCAAGTAATGCTTATTGAGCACATACTATGTGCTAAAAAATATTTCAATGAAAAGCTAATAGGAGTAAATGCTATGGAGGAGCATACATTCAAGTGAGGATTGGCCAAAAAAGATTAGGAAAGCTGTTAGTGATAAAATAAGTTGAAAGCTCCTCCATGTCATAATTTACTCTTATACTTCCTTTTGCCTCACAGTGCTAAGGACATTACTGAGAGTAATGAAGACTGCTAACCTGAACAAATGGAAATATAGAAGCAACTGATTAAATTTTAGCCTTGATAATGGAGCAAAACCTGGGGAAAAGCTGATGGTGCAAGGGGAAGAGTTGTATTGCCAGGTTAGACAGAGTGTGTATAGAGTATATATATACACACACACACACACACACTACAGATATATAATATTTATATGCATTATACATATATACACACTATATACACAGGTTAGGGAAGAGTAAATGTGTATATATGTGTATATGTTTATATATATATTTGACCCTTGAACAACACAGGTTTGAATTGCACAGGTCCACTTATAGGCATATTTCTTTCAATAGTAAATGCTACAATACTACATGATCTGTAGTTGGTTGAGTCCACAGTGTGGAACCGAGAATAT